CTTTTGTATTTGCCAACCAACATGATGTTTTGAGGTCGCCTGTGAAGTTTGGTGGACTTCGGTCGTGCCGTTTGGAGATGGTCGAGCATTGTCGCTTGGTTCGTCGATTCTGGCCGAGAGAGTGGTTAAGTGTGATATCTCCTTTTACTCGGGCCAATTGAGTTCTGCTTCGACCGAACTGTTTTTCTATCCCTCCTGGATTGAATTGTGGTTGGATTTCCCTCATCTCTCATGTTTGGCATGTAAATCCTCCTTTGGCCGGTTGTGGCTTTTGCGCGCCATGTTTGTTTGATATTTTGAACCGGTTCTTTCCTGTCATATTTTATCTGAAAAACACTAGTATCTTTTGTTAAACTCTGTCAATGATTGAGTTGTTCAAAATAGTTTGAACTTCCCAATCAAAGACTTGATCGTGAAACCATATGTACTTGTGATCTTGATCAGAAATCCAAGTAGTTGATTGGTTTAATTTGATAGAAATAGTGTTTAAAAGAAATGACAATGAATGGAAGTGATACTTACCTTTGCCTTGTGCAATAGTGTTCCAATGGCCGGATTTGTGCCGCGGCCCTTCTTGGATTCTTTGCTTCTTGAAACATGGGTGGGACTTGGGTGGGACTCAAACTAGACTCAATGCTAACACTTAGACCAAAGATGGTTAATCTTTGGGCCGATTTGGCGATGTAGCTTCCAATGCATTTTTCATGTAGACCTCCTTTTTGGTACTTTTTCCTAAAACACTTTTTATTTTATTTTTAAAATTTATTAAACTCTCAAAAATTTAAGAGTTATAAATAGAACAAATAAGTAGTTATAAAAAAAAAAAAAAATAAAAAGAGGAAGGGATAAGAAAATGTGGGTTGCCTCCCACAAGCGCTTGTTTTAAGTCTTTGTAGCTCGACTCCTTTGTGTTCTTAGTTAGGTAGGATTGGTGGCTCCAAGAACTTCCTGTTGCCTGATGATTCCAAGTGCATCTTGTCCTGTAGAACTTCCTTGATCAAGTAGCCATGCGACTCTCCTCTTACTTGTGAGCACTCTCCTCCACTTGTGTAGCGAAATCGCTTGGATGAGAAACCGGGAGGTGCAGCATCGTAGAAGGTGTCCTTGTCAACATTGGCTAGAGAGATTCTTCTATTAGGCCAATCCATGATCGCTCCAGCTGTGGCTAGGAATGATCTTCCAAGCAAAAGCTTTAAGTCCTCCGGATCCTTCATGGTTACTACATAGAAGTTGGCTGGAACTATGCAGCCTCCAAAATCAAGCTGAATGTCTTTAACCTCTCCAAGTGGTTCGGTCAATGATGAATCAGCTAGCTTTAAATCCATTCGAGATTTCACAATTGAATTGATCAATCCCAACTTCTTGGCTATCTCGGCCGGCATAAGGTTCACACTAGAACCGGAATCGCAAAGAGCATCATCAAAGTAGCTTCCATTGATAGAGAAATGTATAAGGAAGTAACCTGGGTCATGAAGCTTGTGTAGAAACCTAGGTTTAGGCATCCCCTTTCTTGCTTCCTCGTACATCTTTTCCAATTCAGCTAGACTCCAATCTTGTGTCCAAGCTAGGTCTTGCATGAATGGACTCTTGTTGCAAGCATTATCAAACGGCACACCATAAGGGAATCTCCTCGCCATAAAGTTGAAATCATCTATGATCTCTTCAAGTGATGATCTTGTCTTCCTCTTCTCCTTGGTGGGAGGCGGTTGTGAAGACCTTTGAGTAAGGGTTCTTCCTTTTGGTGCATCTCTCTTGTTCCAGTGGTTAGCCTTCGTGGCTCTTTCTTGATCAGCTCTACTCTTCTTCATCCCAAATCACTCTTGGGTCGGTCTCTCTTATAGTAAAGACGGCGCGGCATGGTTGTGCTTAGAACGGTCGTCTTTGCCTCGGTCAAGACCTTCTCTTCCAAGTTGGCTAAGCGAGTGGTTAAATCCTTGACTTCCTTGGAGACTCCATCTACTTTGTCTTCAAGCCCTCTAGCTCTTCTTTGAATATCTTGGCTCCTCTTGTCTAGAGAGATGTGTAAATCTCGGATTTGTGCCTTCACTTGTTTTTGCCCTTCCACCAATGTAAGCATCGTCGAGTAACATTGCCTCTCCTTTAGGTTACTTCGGCTACCTCCCTCTTAGCTTGATGAGCTACTGCTGTTATTGAATTGAGACTCTTGGTGGTGCCATCGAGGTTGTTATCAAGACTTGTGATCTTCTCATCTAAGTGATTGTCCATCTCCTTGGTAGAAACTTTGGTAAAGTGTATCGCTCTCCTATTGTCTTCAATGGCCTCGCCTTGCTTCTTCAAATCTTCCTCCATGTCCAAGCATCTTGACTCTACTCTCTCTATTTGGGTAGAGAGTTCTCCAAGTCTTCCATCTAGTTCGTATCGCGTGAACTCTAGCTTTGTCTCAATGTCGCGGCTAGTTCTTCTTTGGCTCTCCATGAAACCCTCAAGCACGGCATCGAAATGGCTATCTCTCCGCCTATTGAGAACATGGTCGTGGTGTGAATGCAACACTGGTCTAGGTGGTTGATGATAAACCGGAGGTCGGTTTTGATGATGATGGTAATGATGCTCGTCTCGGCTAGGTCCTTCAAACGTCGGATGAGCGCGGTTGGGAGGGAACGGATGTGGCACGATGCGGCTGGATCTTGGTAAACCCGGCCGTGGAGATCGTGTGGGATCAGTGTCCGGTTCCCAAAGTGGATGTTGGTGTTGTGATTCATCTCCAAGTACCTATAAACACAAGATAAAAAGAAAAAGTTAGTATTCGAAAATACCAAGATCTAGACTTAGTTTTAAACAAGACTATGCAAGTGTTTATGATGCAATCCCCGGCAACGGCGCCAAAAACTTGATGCGGCATCTATGGGATGAGTACAAGTAATAATTCCCTAAGACAACTAGAGTTGCAAGTGCACAACATATAATTGTAGTATTTAGGGGTCGAACCACAAGGGATTGGATTTCACACATTACATAATCATAGAGTTTAAATGATCTAAGCTAAATCAAAAGATGCAAGGGTTTGTGTTTGTTTAGAACACGCAAAAGCAAATAACAATGCAATTCTATACAAGCAACATTATTGAACTATTGAAAACTCTTTTGAAAACATGAGCCAAGTCGATTGAAAAGTTTGTTAAAATCCGATTCTTTTGAACTCAAAACACTAAGGAAGGATTATTCCACTTTCGTGGTTCCAATCCCCTATGTCTCTTAAACCAATGGGCTCAGCTTTCGTTGGTCATTGTAGAGTGAGACATGCATTACATCCAAGTAATGATTGTTCACAAAACTCTTTAGGTCTACTTTCGTAGCCTAAAACGATTTGCCCATCAAATACTATATCCGGAGATATAACAAGCTTTTGGAGAGTATATCAACCTAAAATCAAGTCACTAGTTAGCTACTCTAGCAACAAGCATTAAGCATAAATAAAGATGGAGAACCATAGGGTTTCCCCTTTTAACAATCGATTTTCGAAGGCCATTATATCACGTCCTCATTGGAAGGATCCATAATTCAACAATGAGTCTTAGATAGTAGATGAAGTCTCATGAATCCTTAGAGAGAGAGGCGGCGGAATATGAGTCTAAACCGCCTCACCCTTAGGGAGAAATCTCTACTTCTAGACTATATAAATCGAAACATGCAAGCTATATACAAATGCAAAAGAAGAGAAGAAAAGAAAGGAAGAGTGATGATAGGATTTTAGGTGGATGTGAATGATATGAATGAGATGATGATATGAGGTGGAATGCAAACAGGGGTGAATAAAGATGAAATGGTGCAATCACAATCAATCAATTCCTCTTAACCATCATAGTCATGTAGTATAAGAGGTTATCAATCCAAAATGGGAAACTTGTCACTCTATGAGAATATGAAACACAAGAAAGTCAAGCAAGCAGTAATAGATTTGAGTAACACTAACAACCTAAAAATGAAAATGCAATGCAAATAAAATAAAGCAGTAGAGCAACAGCTCGACCAAGGACTCGAGTCGAGTGGAACAGAGTACCGAGCTCGATCGAGTTTAGGGTCGAGTTGAAGTAAAAAGCAATAAAGGCAGCGACTTTAACAAGCTAAAGAGAATTAGGGTCTAAGACAGGGTTTACAATCAGAGGAAGCTATACTTAATCAATCTTGCTCTTAAAACTTGTATCAAGGTATCTCTTGATATTGAGCTTCTCAATGCCTAGCTAACCCTTTCCCAAGGTGAAAGCTATCAACCAAGGAATGATCTCAGAAACAGGGGGTTAGCCAGTGAGAATCAAGCCTTGGAGGCCATAGGATCATTGCTCAAACTAATCCATCCAACCCCTTAGACCTCTATTTCTAGAGCAAGAGATATTGGAGCTCTTAGTGGACCTTTTCCAGCGATTTCCATCACTTCCATGTGGAGAATCGCCTATGGACATACAAGCCAGGGGTAGTGGTCATGTAGCCTTAAGATTTGTCCAAAAGAGAGAGATTTCTAGATTAAGAACATAAGCAAGAAGGATTAAGCATAAAACCTCTAATCTATCCCATCTCAAACCCTAATGGGAAACTACTCACTACACATGAATGTAAACACAAGCAAATGCAATAAAAGAGACATCATAAGAAAGAGGAGATGAAATTAAACAACTTTTATTGAAATAAGCAAGTGCAAATACAAAGAGATTATCCAGGATCTAGGATTCAAGAAGCAAGAGCTTCAAGAACACAAAGATGGGATTAGAGCTCTAAAAAGTAAAAGACAATAAATTAAAAGAACTAAAACAAAAAGTAATCTAAAGCTTGGTGGTTTTTTCGTGGCTTTTAGCCTTAAATACAAAGAGGATTAGGTTTAGGGTCAAAGGAAAGTCAAGGGGGAAGCAACATTTTTCGGGTTTGACTGTTGACTTCTCAGCTCGATCGAGTTGAAGCTTGGCCGGTCGAGTTGAGGAACTCGACCGGTTGGTCGAGTAGATGGTCGAGCTGGTCTTCAAGATGGCTTCCTCCTTCTTCCTTTGCGTATCCAGTTGAGCTGCGTCCATGTGCCAAGTCCCTCCATGCTCCTCTCGTCCCATATGCTCCAGAATGCTCCAAAAGACCTATTTCAAAGGACCAAACATGCATATGTATGCAAATGCAACCTAAAACTACTATGAATGCATAAGAAGAGAAAAGGAACAAGATATGATGCTAATGGATGCTAAAACTATGCAAAAGATGCATAAAAGATGTACTAAAACTATGCAAAATGCAAGTACATCAACACCCCCAAACTTGAACTTTGCTTGCCCTCAAGCAAACAAATAGAACAAGAAAGAGATGAGGTTTGAAAACAAGTGATTCAACACTTAAAAACATGTCCTCAAAAGCGATTTGCTAAATGTCCAACTTAGAGATTCTAGAATGCAACAAGGTGAGAGATATTCATTAAGATTTAACCATGCTTATCAACATCAATCCCACTTCACAGTCACTCAAACAATGCATTCAAATCAGCAAATCCCTTTAACATTCATTAAGCAAAAACAGTGAACCAAAAACATGCAAGATCAATCAACTCATTTGGTTTCAAGGGTTTATGGGTTAAGAGACAAAGAGGGTCTCTTTTGTATGGTGGTTTAGTAACAGGGATCTCTCAAGAAAGTGGCTTTGCTTTGGCAGAAGGCTAAGTGTTAGAACCAAAGATGATGCAAGAACAGCAGCTCGAGCCGTCCTAATCCTAACTCGATCGAGTTCAACACTTAGAGCTTTTTAGAACAAAATCCTAACTACCCTTTTTGGCATTTCGCCTTTGAAACTGAGGAGCTTTGCTCACTTTTCTTTTAAGAACTTCCTAGGGAGAGGCTTCTTGAGGTAACATCTAGCGGTTTGGGATTTTCTAAACACTTAGGGAACTTTTCTTTCTTTTTGACACTTGAGGCTTTGCCTTCTTTTCATTCTACTTAGAACCCTTTTTACCCTTTTTTAACTTCCCAAACCTTTACTAGACCCTTTTTAACACTGCCAACTCCCTGGACTTAACTAAACTCTTTTTCCTTTGGATTTTCCCAACTTTTACCACTTTTCTGGTTTTTACACCCAACTCGATCGAGCTCGAGTTGGCACCCCCAAACTTAGCCTGAAAACAATCCCAAGAGAACTAGACAACTAGAACTACTGCCCCTGCCGGTTTAAACACAACACCTTATGCTAAGCAAAGCCAAGAAAGGTTCTCACATTCGCACAAGAGATAATAATGGGGTTTGAAATGAAAAGGCTTAGGTTTAAGGTGTGGTAACTGTCTCAAAGATGGAGATCAGCTATCTGGACAAGCAAAAGGGATATGAAAGGTAAAGAATGTCCAGATATGTATGTGGTAGCCATGAGTTGAAATCAAATGCAAGCATCTATACTATTAAAATGGAAGCAATCAAGGGTGCATGCTAGAATTATTCCTGTCACCAAACAGAATTATCCCTGTTATCCGAATTTTTCAGAATAACCCAGAAGGAAACTGGGTCGGATCCTGTTAAAAAGACCATTTACCCCCACGTTTTTCAAAGGAGAATTTTTTTGGAGGTGAGGTCATTTCTGTCCAGAACATTTCGGACCCTCTGTTTGGAAACAGGAATAGGCACAGAAAAAGTGTCGAAAGTGTCAAAAGGGGACAGAGATCGGATCTTCGTACCGACCCGCAAAAAAAACACGCGGATCCTAGCACACTTAAATCGGACCGGCCAAATAACCGGACGAAGCTCACATTCGAAAGATTTTCCCTCTGTTTCAAGAAATTCCGTTATTGGACGGTCCCGAAATCTTTTCAAATCATTCGAAAATCGCCAAGTAAAGAAAACATACCTAAGAACACGGTCCGATTAACGGAAACACAAAAGAATTCCTTCATCCTCGGGACATATCAATGAGATATCCCATAACATGCTCCTGCAGTTAATACAATATATACGAAATCAAACGAGATATCACTTCAGATATTATTACATTGATAAACTAATAGATTAGGGAAATATTCCAACCTCAACAGATTTGTAATCCAAGAGAATATGCCGTGGGCAGCAATTCTGAAACCTCCGAAGCCCTAGGCATAAGATACAACTCCAAACATTATAAATATGTAGCCTTTGTCACATTAAAGGTCATCAAACATCAAACACATCTATTTTACCTCCTCCTCGCAAAATGACTATTGGATGCGCCTTCGCCAAGCTTTCTGATGTCCGACCTTTCAAGACAACATGGAAGGTCCGCGTTAAGGTGATTCACTCCTGGAGGCAGTACAGCGGCATGTCCGGCGAAACGATGGATCTGGTTCTCGCTGATGAACATGTAAGTTTAAAACCTATATGTAAATTAACAATGCTAATCGTATGTTTCAGTTTGCGTTATAATGACAAGTACCTATACTTATATTTCCAGGGTACTAAAATGCATGCTGGAATTAAGAAGAAGGATATAGGCCGGTTATCAAAGCTTCTGGTCGTTGGTGAATGGAAAGTGTTGGAGAACTTTCAGGTATCTCCTGCAACCGGGCTATTTCGACCAACTCCAAGCAACTGGAAGATTGGGTTGTCCATGAACACAATCGTTACCACATGCAGCATCAAAGTGGACGACATGTTCCTTTCGTTGGTACCTATCCAGACGATCCTAGATGGTGATTTGAATCACAATTTCTTGATTGGTAAGTAATCTATCCGTGCTTACAATCTACATCTGATGTATACTATTAAATTGCTGACTTGAAATGAGAGGACTTACATATTCAATCGGGAACTTGTGTACATGTTTTCCAGATGTCATTGGACAGGTTCTTGATGTCAGTGAGATCAAAACTGTTCCTGTACTTGGGAGAGAAAAGCGGAAGCTAGAGTGCGTGCTTAGGGACATTAAGTAAGTATATATACACTTATCATCAGTTCAATCTGTGGTTTATTCTCTATATGTCTAAGTATTTTCTTAATAAATTTTGCAGTGATCAGAGAATCAACTGCTGTCTTTGGGCGGGATACGCTGACCAACTGTACGAGGCATGCAGTAAAGCTAATGGGAAAACATTAATTTGTTTGATCAGATTTGCGAAACTCAACTTTTATCAAGGCAAGCTTATACATCAACTATATATCAACCTGATTGCAACCAAATCAACTTCGTTTAAACATTTTTGAGATATGAAACATTTCTATTAGGTGATATGCAAGTAACTAATGCTTTTGACGCATCTAAGCTTATCATCAACCCTATTTGCGAAGAAGCAGATGCTTTCAGGATTGGGTTAGTAATATGTCTAAACTATATTTGCTAGGATTGTTTTAATTTACACATATATAAGAAGAAAACTAACCTTCTGTACTTGATCCTTCAGCTTGCCAGATGACGGTGCGATTGTTGTCATCCAAGAGGATGATGAAGAGGCTGAGAAGCAAAGGATAAAGGAGCAGGAAGATGCGTGGCTGGCGTTGGAAATGAAATCTGTGTATGACATTCAGAATGCTACTGAGGTAAACACATTCATATGTGACAAATAGATTGAACGATTTGATAGTGATTTACTTATCTAAAATAATGTAATACCTCGCAGATAGAGAAATTCAGGATTTCTGTCAAAGTGACTGGAATTGATACCGACTGGGGTTGGTATTATTTCGGATGTGGAAAGTGCCAGTTCAGGGTCACCAAGGATCTGAAGAAGGAAGGAGCCACAAAACCTCGCCCCAAAGCACCCGTGTGGTACTGTGACAGATGCAAATCAAATGTCAAAACTGTTGAAGCAAAGTGAGTAGTTCCAAATTTTTTTCGAATTTTTGGTTCATCAGTATAGATATAATAGTTGCCATTGTGATCACATGGAATATTTGCATATGCAGGTTCAAGTTGCACCTTCTGGTAGAGGATGACTCGGCCAAAACAAAGGTTATGCTTCTTGATTCCGTTGCTTATGGCATCGTGGATAAAACAGCTTCCTTCCTGCTAAACGGATCATACGATGAGGTAATATCATTATCAGAAGCTGCATAATATTTTCCTGTTATACTAGCTCACGTTTTAACGAGATGCCTATTTATTATGAAAAAAACAGATTCAGGATCCAGAATTAATACCCGATGACGTCAAGAGTTTAGTTGGAAAAAGTTTCGAGTTTCTGGTCGGTGTCGAGAAGGAACACATTGTGTATGGAAATGACACCTACAAGGTGCATAAGGTAAAGAAAGGACTTCTCATTCTCGACACGGAATCTGGCGATGGACCATTCACTGCCATTGATAATGGTTCGACCATTGCATCTGGCGAGGAGGTTAGCACACCCTGTTCTCTTACATTCACGTTAAACCCATTTTGTATTGAAATGAACATAATATGAACTTTGATTAATCTTTGAATCCTCACCTATGTTTTAGTTGTCGGTTGTCAAGAGTAACAGCCAAAGCATTTCAGATGATGGTTCAACCCCATCACCGAAGCGTGATTTTGAATCAATGCATGGTGTCCCAGCCGGCTCTTCCACTTCGAAGAAGCATTGCCCCAAGCAACTTCCTACAGAGCCAGTAGAGAGCTGGTCAATCCGGGTGGACTAATTAGCCAGCATCCCGAAGCAAATAAAGACCGAAGCTAAGCTCCACCAACTCACCGAGAATTGACGTTAAGCGTAGCATGCAGAAGAGTCTCCAATAATTTATTGTTTTCAATCAAGGATCGAGCTTATGTTCTCCATGTGTTTTTATTTTGCTACACAGTTGGTTTTCTATTTATTTCATTTCTTTTCTGGCAACTTTTTAAAATAATGGAGCTTTTGTTTTACATTTTGCTTAATTATATTTTTCTATATCAACTATCAATACACAAATACAACATGGAGACTTTTCCAAACTGAGTAGGATACGTACCTAATAGATGCCAGATTTCAACATGCTCTGAAACGTCATATACTAAAGAACCGCAGTTATTGGATTACCTGCAAGTAATGTGATCTACAAATGTTCAAGATGGTCTAACCCCTATTATTCATAAACCTAGACAAATATAACTCAAACTTTATTGGAAATAATGTGATCTATCTTTAAATAATGTGAGGGTGTCAATAGACATGTTTTTGCAAAAGATGTTATCTAATTATATTATATAACCAAATTATAATCGAGGTCAAAATAAAATTAATTGGACGATTAAATATTCTGTTTGAGATTTGTATTTTGTAAAAGTTAGTTGTTCATATAAGTGGGAATGTTTATATATTTGAAAAGTTTGGTGAAACCGGGAATCTCAATTGTTATATTTTAAGCTTGCCGCCATGTACAATTATAAGATTTTGAATAATCGAATGAGATCTCCGGAGTATCTTAGATTGGTTAAACTAAGGAAGAAGTGTTTAGCAATGAACAATTGTACATGGATAGATATTACCTCTTTCACAAAGATGACCTTCAGTGAAACATCCCCTGCGTAACCTCTTAAAAGAAATCACAAGGAGGTTAATTAGAAGAGAACCAGGTATTGTCAAACAGACCATTGTGATTTTCCTTTTACCAAAAAACTTTGTCTACATTTCTACGTAACTTAGACCTTTTTGTTTATGCAGTTGGAAAATGGTTCGTCTTAAAAATGTAGGGACTGACACGTTTAATAAGAACACTAAACCTCCAGTCACGAGGAAGAGGAAATTGACCGCAAGTAACAATGAAAATGTAGATCCAAATTCAGAACCGGTAACAGACACCCATCTCCTTTTTTTATTGTCATATTGATGAAGTAGGATCATGATGATGATTTGGTTTTCATGTTTAGGTGAAAAATCAAAATGAAAACAAAGGTTCAGCTGCAAAACTCACTGCTAAAGCAAATATTCAACCTAAGAGAAGTAGAAAGAAAACCAAGGACGTGAACACTGAACCAAATGCAGCAACGATTATTAGCGATAAGTGTAATAACAACACTAAACCTCCAGTCACGAGGAAGAGGAAATTGACCTCAAGTAACAATCCAAACTCAGAACCGGTAACAGACACCCATCTCCTTTTTTTATTTTATTATCTAATTGATGAAGTAGAATAATGATGACCATTTGGTTTTCATGGTCAGGTCAAAAATCAATCTGAAAACAAAGGAGATGCTGCGAAAGTCACTGCGAAAGCAAAAATTCAACCTAAGAGAAGCAGAAAGAAAACAGAGGGTGTTAACAATGAACCAAATGCAGCAACGAGAATGAGTGGACCATGTATACTCTCAAATATATTTTTAGAAAACTATTTGATGATGTTGAAGGCATATCTAAACGAGCTACCATCCCGACGAAGGAAAAGCCTAAACGTAAGAATGGAAAACCAGTCGGGCCAACACTTTCTACACAAGGTAATGCTTATCGTCCATGTTTTTATGCAATGAATATATCCTGTATATGCACACCTCTAAATAAGAATTAAGAAGTTAACTATGTATCTGTTTAACAAACAGAAAACGAGTCAAGGGTACAGAACTTACAAACGAGGAAGAGACAACGTGGAAGGAGAGTACTGCAGGATATCTCAAACTTGCCAGATGACGATGATGTTTCCGTAGGACTTTCGGATGATAACCTGGATGAAGAACGACCACATAACTATCCGGATCTTTTAAACTCTGATGAAGGTGATAATATATATCATTATTTTTATACATTGTAAACGTTAGCCTAGATCTGTAACTTATCATCGTGATTTGTATTAACAGACGATGAAGGGGATTACGAACACATTTTCCAATGTAGTAGTCCTGATAGCACAGACACAGAAGATGGTGATAATGATAAATACCAACCTTCTCCATCACATCTGCAACAAACGCATATCTCCGAACAAGAACCTCCTTCGACCGTACACATAGTTCCAACACTTCCTGAGAGTGTGATTACTCAAGAAACTGTTCAACCTTCTCCAACTCTGAAAAAACGAAAGAGAGTTAGTATGGCAAAAAAGAAAGAAACTGTACCCGATAAGATTGGTAAGCTAATTAGAAACAACGTGTCATATGTATGATGCAACAGCGAACTTTTTGTATAGTAAATCCTGATTTGTATGTTCACTGTGTTGTGCAGTATACAATGACGAGGGTGACATGACTTATTCGTGCGTGCATTGTGGTGCTAAATTTTGGTATGGAGAACGACTAAACAGAAGAAGGAGGACGGGGGATCCATCATTCAACCTTTGTTGTATGCACGGCCAAGTCAAATTGCCTTTACTAAAGGATCCTCCTGCTCTTATTAAAAATTGCTGTTTGGGGATGATGAAATGAGCAGGCACTTTCAAAAATTTATCAGAATCTACAACATGTTGTTCTCTATGACGTCTCTCGGAGGTAAAACTGATCGTTCTATCAAAAAAGGAAAGGGTCCAAACATGTTTCAGCTGCACGGAGAAAATTACCACCTAATTGGAAGTATGCTTCCAAACCCCGGTGATTATGCAAAATTCTATCAGATGTACATAGTTGATTCTGAAAATGAATTGGACAACAGACTGAATTTTTTCAGGTAATATATTTTAGTTTAAAGCTATTGTCATAATAATTATGAAGTCATTACCAATTTAGGGTTTTGTCATTGCGTTTCAGTAAGGGGAAACACGCATCCAAGCCAGATAAGAAGAATAGACTCAGGAAGGACATCATTGATGCGCTGACAAAGATGCTCGACGATGTCAACCCCTATGTCAAGAATTTCAGGACTGCAAGAGAAAGATTCAACACTAATCCTCAAGATAGTTTTCATATGAGGATAATTAGTGATCGTGTTACAGATGGTAGAACTTACAATGTTCCAACTGTGTCTGAGGTTGCTGCAATTATTCCCGGAGATTTCAATTTAGAAATGGGTACAAGACGGGATATTGTTCTAGAGAAACGATCAGGCAAGCTGCGACGGATAAGCGAAATCCATCCAGCCTACATACCACTGCAATATCCTCTGGGGTTTTCTTATGGAGAAGATGGTTTCCGACTTGGAATTAAGAAAGCCAATGTTGAAGCTTCTAAGAAGACGAAAAAGGAAAACATCAGCGTTAGACAGTTTTTTGCGTATCGTCTAATGGTTAGACCAAACGAGTCAAATCACTTGCTACACTCTAGGAGATTGTTCCAGCAGTATCTGGTTGATACCTACACTATGATAGAGTCTAACAGATTATCCTACTTGAGATTGAACCAGACAAGTTTGAGGTCTGATAGCTATGACTCTATCAAACAAGCGGAAGACCACGGTGTTATTGAAATGGATGAACAAGGCAATAAATTTCTGCTACCTGCGAGTTTCACTGGTGGACCAAGATACATGAGGGAGTTGTATTTTGACGCCATGGCCATTTGTAGACATCATGGATTTCCAGATCTTTTCATTACTTTTACATGCAATCCTAAATGGCCAGAAATATCAAGGGATCTCGCAGGGACCCGTCTAAGTGCCACTGATAGAGCTGAACTTATTAGCAGAGTCTACCGGATGAAACTAAAATCTCTTATGGAAGATCTAACTCTCAAAAACCTGCTGGGAAAAACGGTGGCCTGTAAGTTTACGAAGCCCCTACTTTTATCGTTGATATCTGATATGCATATTCCTATATGTTGATAACTATTTATCTAACGATGAGACATGATTGGCAATGCAGCTATGTACACCATAGAATTTCAAAAGCGAGGTTTGCCACATGCACACATTCTTCTATTCATGGATCAGAAGTCAAAGCTCCAGACAACAGACGCTATTGACGATATTATATCCGCCGAAATACCAGATAAATCAAAAGATCCAGAGTTGTATGATGTTGTGAAAGATATGATGATTCATGGACCATGTGGTCATGCCAACCCCAATTCACCATGTATGAGCAATGATATATGTACTAAGAACTTCCCCAAGAGCCACGCTGAAAAGACTACAATCAATAGAGAAGGATTCCCATTATATAGGAGACGCGATCAGCCCAATGTGTTTGTGGAGAAGAACGGTTTTAAATGCGACAACAGATACGTAATTCCATACAACAAAACCCTATCCGTCCGTTATAGAGCACACATCAATGTTGAGTGGTGTAACCAGACGGGGCTGTCAGATATTTATTTAAGTACATCAACAAAGGAGCCGATCGTGTTTCTGTTGTCGTTGAGTCAGCTGAGGAAGCCAGGAGAAAAACAAAGAGCGGACATAAGGATGTTAGTGGAGATGCCAACAGTCGATCAAATGATGAGGGTGTTAGCGCAGAGAAGAAAGCTTCCAAGGAAAATAGGAATGAGATCAAGGACTACTTTGATTGCCGGTATGCTTTATTATTTGTCTTTAGCCTCCATTTAAGCGATATGACTGTTTTCTTAGCTGTGGTCATATCATTATCTTTTATTTTAGGTACATTTCACCCTCTAAAGCTGTTTGGAGAACATTCAAATACCCGATACACCATAGATCTGTATCAGTGGAGAAACTGACATTCCACCTCGAAGGGAAACAGTTGGTTATTTACAAAGGTAGTGACAAAATGGAGAGGGTCGTAACACGTAAACTAATTGAGAAGACAATGATGCTGGCATGGTTTGAACTGAACAAGGAGTGTGAATTTGCTAGAACGCTTACCTATGTTCAGATTCCAAATTATTTTACCTACGTAAAAAGTGAAAAACGCTGGAAACGTAGAAAGAGAGGATTCAGCATTGGAAGAATCAATTACGCACCAAGGAAGATTGAAGATGCTTACTATTTGAGAATGCTGTTAAACGTCGTGAGAGGTCCAAGATCGTTTGAGGAGATAAAGACCTATAATGGTGTGTTGTACCCTGAATTTAAAGATGCCTGTTACGCTAGGGGCCTGCTAGAGGATGACCAAGAGTATATCGATGATATTTGCAGAAGAAGCTTCACATGTCCTCCATCACAACTTCGCCAGTTGTTTGTCATCATGCTTACTTCAGATAGTCTGATTTCGCCAGATGTAGTTTGGTATGCGTGTTGGGAGTTTCTTTCTGACGACATGGAGATGATTAGAAGAAGAGATCTTAATAGACCAGGTACAATATCTTCTGGCTTTATTTCCTTAAGTTTTTTTTTAAAAAAATAGGAATCTATTTACTAAATAGTATTGTCAACGAATTTCAGCACTTACGCTAAGTGACGAAGACAAAAGGGAATATGCTCTCCAGGAGTTGTAAAGTTAGTAAAAAGGAATGGCGCTGACTGGACGAGGTTTAAAAGTATGCCTCAACCACGGGGAGTTACTTATTCAGCTACCGATAATGTTCTAATTTTTGATGAAAAGAGTTATGAAAAAGAGGAGCAGAAAACAAACCACGACAGAGACTTTGCTAAGCTTACTCCTGAACAGAAGAAAGTGTATGAGGAAATAATTGGTTCTGTTTTAGCGAGAAAAGGAGGAGTGTTCTTTGTATATGGCTTTGGTGGAACTGGAAAAACATTTTTGTGGAGGATTTTGTCTTCTGCAATTAGATACAGGGAAGAGATCGTTTTAAATGTAGCTTCAAGTGGTATAGCATCACTACTGTTACAAGGAGGCCGCACGGCTCATTCCAGGTTTGGGATACCTCTGAATCCAGATGAGTTTACTACATGTGTTATGAGCAAAGGTTCTGATCTAGCAAATTTGGTCAAGAGTCGTCTCTTATTATATGGGACGAGGCTCCTATGATGAGTAGGCATTGTTTCGAGTCTTTGGATCGAAGTCTTTCAGACATTATTGGTAATAAAGATGGAAAGCCGTTCGGAGGTAAAGTAATTGTGTTTGGAGGTGATTTCAGACAAGTTCTTCCAGTAATACCTGGTGGTGGTAGGGCACAAATAGTAGGAGCCTCGCTGAACTCATCTTATCTTTGGAAACACTGCAAAGTTTTAAAACTGACAAAGAACATGAGGCTCTTATCTGGTAATCTGAGTGAAGAAGAAGCAAGAGACCTAAAGGAATTTTCAGAGTGGATACTCGATGTTGGTAATGGAAGAATAGCGGAACCTAATGATGGTGAAGCTGAGATCGAAATTCCTGAGGAATTCCTTATAATGGATGAAGAGGAGCCTATTGAATCTATAAGCAGGAAGATCTATGGAAGTTCCGAGGCTCTGCAGGACAACACGGATCCAAACTTTTTCCAAGGAAGAGCAATTCTTTGTCCTACGAACGAAGATGTCGACAAGATAAACCAGCACATGCTAGACAAATTGAATGGTTAGTCAGTTTCCTCAGTTTCTACTATTTTACGATTTGTAACTAACCTAAATTGATATCTATCAGGAGAGGAACGAATTTATCTCAGCTGTGATACCTTGGATCCTTCAGACTCTTCTGCCATGAATGACGAGGCTCTAAGCACGGAATTCTTAAACAGCATCAGAGTTGCTGGCTTACCTAACCACAGTTTGAGACTGAAGGTTGGGTGTCCGGTGATGTTGCTAAGGAATATTGATCCAATAGGAGGTCTAATGAATGGAACAAGGCTGCAAATTACTCAACTAGCTGGCTTTATGGTAGAAGCTAAGGTTATTACCGGAGACAAGATTGGAGCCAAAGTTATCATTCCTCAACTCACCATTACACCATCAGATGCGAGGCTTCCATTCAAGATGAGAAGAAGACAATCTCCTAAAATAATAGATCTCGAAAATTTTCCAATGTTGAACGACGTTAAACTCGCACAAGTGGGACCAAACCGTCACGATTCGAGGATTACTGTTAAAGTGTTAAAGATCTGGGATACAATTGATGTCGACACCGGTGAAGGGCTCAGTTTCCTCTTTCTCGATGACGAGGTTACTGTTACAGTTTCAAAGTAATTTTATTTTGAAACTAATTTTACATGATACGAATGGATTTCTTAATTTATTTTCACAATTGCCCCAGGGAACGAAGATGCATGCATTGGTCGAAAGAAAAGATCAGCATAGGAGATTTAGGAGACTACTTCATGAAGAAGAGTGGAAGACCATATCTGGTTTCCAAGTTCGTACATTTACTCCATGGATTCGTTTGACCAAACAAAGGAAAGAGATTTTCCTCACTTCTGAGACACAAGTTGATGATGCTGACGCCTTTGATGGTTTTATTCCGTTGGATCTAATTCCATTTGGAGATGTTATACGCTTAGGAGTTCATGCTGGAACTGTTTATCTTAGAGGTTATTTCCAACTATATATCTTTAATTTGTACTAAATCATCCCTGTGAATAAACTTATTTTGTTTTGAAGTTACATATTCTGCTTAATCGGAAGTTTCATGTTTTTTAATTGTAACAGACTTCATAGGCCAAATATTATTTTCTCATGAGTTGGGTGTCATCAAAGATCGTTCTCTTCCTAGGAACAGATTGAACCTTTACGAGAAATATACCAGCAAGATTGACTTTGTGATGCGGGACAACGTGTAAGTTTATATCTACTATATTCCTAATATCTTTAAAATTAATTACTGGACTATGTAGTATGTATTTGAGACACACTTTTTTCTTTGATTTTAGTGGCAATAGATTAAACGTTCGTGTAAAGGGACAGTTAGCAGATAAATTCAAACTCTTCTGGCTTTGTTACGCCAACTGTGGAACAAATATTGTTCTGTTAACTGACTGGCGTGTTGTTGGAAATGATGGTAAGCTCATTCGTGTTGTTATAGTAATATTCTGTAGCAGATTTTCCAATTGTCTTCTTATGTAAACTATATAACATCTTCAATTTTGATTTAATCTACAATTAGGTGGTATAAATGTTGAAATCTCTCCTGGTATCTCTACTTTTGATTTCCATCCCACCGGACACTTAGAGGTGGAACATTTCGAGAATACATTTTAAGTTTTATAATTTGAAAGTCCATTCTTGCTAAATGACTTATCTTACATAAGACTCACTAGCCATGATCGATAATTTTTTATATTGTTTTCTTTTAACAGAGAAGCTGAGGTTGATGATAGCGATGATGATTGAGAATCTGAAGACATGGATGTTTAAATCATTATCTTTCCTGCTATCTATGTGTAACTTAACTATGAGAACCATGCTATTGTTATTTAAGTTTACTTTCAAGTTAAGATTAAAGGTTTCAGTTGATCTACTGTTTTCGAAACCACTAAGTCAGAAAATGTTTTTATATAATTTATTCAGGCACAGAACATACTGATTCAATGTAAATGTCAGTAAAGCAAGATATTGGTCCAATAACAGGGTTTACCTTTATATTCTGGAGAGTCATAAACCAGTATAGGTAACCGTTCCCAAAAGCTGAGTATCTACCTGCCAAAACACATAAAAATGTTCAAGAATTTTAATCCACAGAAGAATACCGGATTGAAAGGATGTATTGAAGACTTATGCTACTCTTAATCAGTTGATATAAAAGTCATGAACAAGGATGTATTGAAGACTGCATATTTACGAAAAGAGTAAAATTTAATTTCCAAGTTCTGTCACCTCTATGAACAGAGGAAAAGCTGCAAATGTTTACTTTCACGTGAAAGGTTCATCTTTTGTGGACTTTGGAAATAGCTGTCTTCCTTATTTTCATTTCCAAACGGTCAGATATATTAAATGTATGAAGAGTATATTTATTTTTCCTAACAGAATAACAATGAAATGGTAACATAATTCGACATCCTATAAATAACTCAGCACTCTGTCTTTTTGTAGAACAGAGAATCACAACAAATCTTCAAATATGGCAACTATATCGAAAATCAACGAACTTTCTCCTCATAGGAATGGTTGGACGATAAGAGTTAGAGTTTTGAAGAAATGGTCTGAGATGATAGATGGAGGTGGTGACATATTGCGTTTTCTTTTGGTAGATGATCACGTAAGTTTATTTATCTTCTTCATTCTTTTTTGTTAACATTTTGATTTATTCGGTATGATAGGAACTGCTATTAGTCGTGTTTTATGTATTTTTAACAATAGAAATTGTTTAATCGATAGGATGGAAAAATACCTGCCAAGGTCAGTCAAGAAAATGGTCTCTATGAGAATTTTGATGAACAGCTACACGAGGGCAACTGGAAAATCATCACTGGATTTACCGTAGAGTTGTCACCTCCTGGATTTCGTTTTGCTATGAATCACCATACCATCATCTTCACAGGTAATACTAATCTGCAGAGGTCATGGGGTGTCATCACAGACCATTACATGAGTTTCAAGAACTTCCGGTCCATAATGAATGGAGTATATACTTCCA